AAAAGATATATCTGTTTATTTATTTGAAAGGAAGTTATATATATATATATATATAGAGAGAGAGAGAGAGAGAGAGAGAGAGAGATCTTTCATTTGCTGGTTCACTGTAGAAAGGCAGCAGTGGCCAGCCTGGGCCAGGTAGGAGCCAGGGTCCAGAACCTTTATCTGGTTCTCCCACATGGGTTGCAGGGGCCTTAATACTTTAGCTATGTTTCACTTTTCACAAGCCATTAGCAGGGAGCTGGATCAGAAGTGGATGCTGGGATGCAAACCAGCATCCCTCTGTGAAGCCAGCAACACAGTGGCTTTACCTGCTAACACTGTAACACTGGCCCCCACTCTCATTCCTGATGACTTGTAGAGCCCTCTGAGTGCTTTGAAGAAAGGGAAGAAACGGACCTGCTTTGAAACTGGGGTTTATGCTTAAATACCAAATGGAAACTGTGACGTATTTCCTGGAAATAGCTTTTAGAGGAACACTTGGTTGGTGGTCATCATCATGGCCGTCAAACACCAAGCCATTGATTTTCTGCCTTCTTCTGTGATTGTTGTGTATGTGCCATGGACAGGCATCCGGAAATTTCAAGTTGTGGGATTTGAGTCATCAAATTAAGAGAGTAGAAATCTCTTTCAGTTTAAGGCCAGGATAGTTATGTCCAATTGGGGAATTTAAAGTCAGTAGTGGTTAGAAGAAAAATACTGTTTATAATTTGCCAGCACTTGTTAAAATTTTAAACATATTATTCATTTTTACTCTGAAATTATAGAAGTTTTCATGAAGAAACAATCATGAATCGGAATGGAGATTTAGCCAGCAGAGTTATTGCTACAGTGCAAAGCACGAGCTCCCTGAATGTCAGATATTTTATAACTGCTTAAGGTGGCTGAAGTATTTCCACATAATGTTGGCAGTAGAAATGGTGCAACTGAAGAAAAGCAATGACAGAAAAAGATGCTAACATTACCATGTTTTGTTTTGTTTTGTTTTTAATTAAATGGGCATTGCAGTGTAGCAGATGAAGCTATTGCTTGGGATACTTATATTACAGAGTGCTTGGGTTCCAGTTGCACTTCCATTCCTGATCCCAGTTTCCTGCTAAGGAGCACCTCAGATCAACTACTTGGGTCCCTGGCACCCGTGTGTGATCCCAGTTGAGTTCTTGCCTTGTCTTCCTGGCCAGGGCCAACCGTTTGGGAAATGAACAGGTCAGCCACAACCAATACGTGTCTCTGATTTATTTCGTTTTTTAAATTGGCTCCTCTACTCCTTTTTGACATCTACTTCTGCATTTGTTTGTAGACTGAGTTTTTCATGACAAACATCAAGGTCAGGTTATGTTCCCAGAGATTGGCTTTCAGCTGAATTGCCTTCCTGCTTCTAAAATAAAAATAGCAAATAAGCATTTTTTTCAAAGGTTTATTTTATTTTGATTGGAAAGTCAGATATACAGAGAGGAAGATCTTCCATCCGATGATTTACTCCCCAAGTGATCGCAACGGCTAGAACTGTGCTGATTCCAGGAGCAATTCCTCCAGGTCTCCCACGTGGGTGCAGAGTCCCAAGGCTTTGGGCCATCCTTGACTACTTTCCCAGGTCACAAGCAAGCGCTGGATGGTAACTGGAGCTTCTGGGATTAGAACCGGCGCCCATATGGGATCCCAGGGCATGTTGAAGAAGAAGACTTTAGCTGCTAGGCCACGCCGCTGGGCCCGCAAATGAGCATTTTCCAAGTGCAAAGTTAGAGGGAGCCTTGGCCTCTGCCAGAAAATTTGCTGGATATATACCGATGACCAAGACAAACACAATTGTTAGTGCTTGTAGACAAAATTAAATAGGAGGTTATAAAATATCTAACTGAAATATTTTGAATAACCAAATTAGGCTTCAACTGTTTTTCTTCTTCATACTAGTTTGAATCTTTGCAGATCTGCTATTAACAGCCAGGAACAATGATTACAAATTTATTTTAGAGTCCCCCGAAATGGATCGAATGAATTACAGAGATCCAATAGAGTTAAAATTGTCAACTTTGAGCTGGGAATGCACCTACCCAGCACTGTAGTGGACATATTGGGCATTCAGATTATAGCCAGATATCCCAGAGGAAGACACAGCTTCAACATAGATACATTGCTGACAGTATGGATGCTGTATAATTATGAATTATATAGTAAATATGTAAATATAACATTCGCGATATCCAATATTACATCCCTTATATATACATATACATGTGTGTATATTTACATAGTTACATTTGTTTTATATCTATCTATATATATACATATATATATATATAGAGAGAGAGAGAGAGAGGCTTCAATATTAGGATGTTGGAGGAAAAGACCAGTTCTAGTACAGAGACAGAAAATACCTCTTTTAAGGATGTATAAATTGGGTTAAAATTAAAAGTATATTTGCCCCTTTGAATTATAAAACATAAATACAATCAAAACTAATTTCAATAAAAGATAACTTTTAACTTATATAATAAGGATATATTGTCTTGGCGTACCTAATTTCATCTGATCTTGAAAGCTAAGCAGGGTCGGGCCTGGTTAGTATTTGAATGGGAAAACAGTGTATACTTAGCACTAAATCTTTTTTCAAAGTGAATGTTAATCTATTTAAAATACAATTTAACTTAGGCTCTTAAAGCCTATTTCTAGGAAATTACATATACTTGTGTGTCTACGGATACACACACATGCATAGTTGCTTATGCTTCCTTGAATTTATATCAGTAATCATAAAATCAACTATCAATTTTAAAAGCCTGCTTGGGTCAGGCATTTGCTCCTTGGCATAGCAATGAGTGGATGTGAATTGTTTTCCTGATCCACAGAACCCCCATGGGGCTGCAGTTGCACATTTGAATCCAAGCCAATTGATGTTCTAATCCTTTCTGTCCTTCAGGATGAAATGGAACTAAATCTTTTTTTTTTAATTTAGTATTTTTAGCATTGAGCAAAGATTATAGATAGGATGCAGAATTACATCCTTGCTAAAAGGATTTGTCATCTTAATTAGATATGCAGGTACTATCCATGGGAGATGGATGATGTAAGCAGTAATATGGTAAAAAACTCAGGAATAAGTCAAAAAATCTAAACAGAGATAGCAAAGTACTTCTAGTATTAGTATTTGCCAATAAAGGACTAAAGCATGGTAGTAAATAGTCAATTTCTACTTCTAGCTCGCTCCTGAGTTTTTTACATCTAAGGTTGGTCATAGCTCCTCTCTTTGTTTGATATTAATTTCTTTGTCTTCAACCTGGCTCATATTTCTCAGAGAAGTTGACAGTGACAGTTGAAGTAATAAATATGAAAAACTTCTATTTCCTTAGAAGAAAATGTCGAACCAAGAATAATAAAGGGTGTGCTATGTACATTGCATCTGATCTTTTAACTCATGCAGCAAGTAAATTAGGGGATGAAACTTCACACTTTGGAACAATTCACCTCAAAAAATGATTGGACTGTAGGCCAGTAGGCGTCACAGTGCAATAAGCCACCACCTCGGACCAGAGCAACCTGTTCCCAGTCCTGGCTGCTGCCCTTCCGATCTAACTCCCTGATAGCGCACCAGGAAAGCAGGGAAAGATGGGTCACATTCTTGGGCTCCTATCACACATGGGAGATAGAAAGAGTGCCAAGCTCGTGGTTTCAGCATAGCATAGCCCTACCTAAAAATTGGCTTGGTAAAAAATCAGTATATTAAAACACTACCTATGATCATATGGATTTGATTATAAATGATGCTGGAAATTATCCTAAAGACAAGCCAGAAAAAGTGAAAATTTTCCTAAGATAGTTGAAAAAAATGACAAGTAAGACCAGTTGTGAAAGAAATGACTGACATAGCAACCCACCTTTTTAAATCGTATAATATGAAGTCAAGCCTCCACATTCAAGGATAAAATATCCTTAGCAAAATTTTTGTGTCTATTAAATAGACCAACAGATGGACCATACCTAAATGCATGCACGCAAAACTGAGTTGGCTGCTTTCATTCTCCTCTGCAAATACACCTAATACACTTAAAACTTCCATGGTTTGTTTTTTGGCTACTTAACTGTTATGAATGTGCAAGCGGTATAAAGATTATGTTGTAAATAAATGGCACCTGCTCACATTGCCTCCCATATCTCATTGCAGCCTTTACCACTGCGGATTTGCCCTTATTAGCATTGTTGGATTATGTAAAGAGATCTAACAGACTGAAGGGAAAATTTTTAAATAAGACCTTAATTCAGAGCACTTCTCACACTCTGTTCGGGTCGCTTGGAGAGTTGGCTCTGGTTCCAGTAACTTCCTATGCACTCAGAGTCTGGCTTTTGTTGTAATTCTTGGTACATAAGAGACACGCAATTTGTGATCAAATCAAAGCGAATGGATTAATAAATTATTAAAAGTACCATTTATGGAATCTAAGAATGATCACATCGGTTTTTTAGACTATGACAAAATTACAAAAAAAAAGATAAATTGCTAATTAGGAGAATTCAAATGCTTTCACTCGTATTTCTTCCAAAGAAACAATGCAAGAACCAAGCCAGTATGGCATGTTTAGTACATCGGCGGCTTAAAAGCAAATTTGGAAATAGTCCTTTGCCTAGGCTGAGTGATGGCTTTATACAGCTGTATATGCTGTGAAATATCCCATCATACACTCTAGCACCTATCTTCATAAAGGCAACTAATAAAAAATAATTAGGCTCACATTTTCTTCCCACTCTGCTTCTTCTAGAAATAGGTAGACATACACTCAGCTGAAAACGTATTCTAAATAAAGAAAAAGACAGGTCATTATCGCCATCCCAATTTCCCTGATGAAAAGCAATGCATGTATGCTAGCAATTCTATGTGAGAATGCTTGTGGAAATGGTTGCTGGAGAGGGAACGGGCCAGCCTGGCAAGTGCTGACCATTGTGCAGGAGCAGACAGCGCGAAGACAGAGCTCGTCTGCTGACCGGCTGTGCTCTTCTTGTCTCCTCAGATTGACAGGCTGGATGTGGACAGCTTGTTTAGCAACATCGAGTCTGTGCATCAGGTATCAGCCACGCTGCTGTCTTTGCTGGAAGAGGCTACAACAGACGTGGAACCAGCCGTGCAAGTGATCGGTATGTTTGTTCTCTTCTCAAGTTCTACTGTAGAGCAGGAGATAAGATTTTTATTGTCTCCCAGTGCTTTGATTTTTTTTTTTTACTCAACAGGCTTCCCAGGAGATGCATAAATGCTAAACTCATCATCAGCTCATTGTAATTATGCAAACTGTTGCTATTTTCAAATGGGTTTATATCTATTTGCCAACACCTCTGGAGCGCCACGCACACCATTTGTTTTTTGTTTTGTGATCTTCAATCCCTTTGCCTTCCAGATGTCCTTTTGTTTTGCTTTATGGCTTACTTGATTTTCAAATTATTGAAGTATTTTAATAGTTTTACTTGCAATATTTTTGAGAACTTCTACCCATGAAGCAACTGATTTTCAGAATATAAAGTTTACATTAGTTTATGTGATTTATATAAAATTCAATCAAATTTATTTTCCCTTGCTTTTACTTTTTCTCTGTTATTTCCTTTCTAAATAGGGTTTACTATCAGTCATAGTTGTATTTGTTCACCTACTCTAGTAAGACTTTTTTAAAGATCTTTTTTTTTTTATTGGAAAGTCAGAGATACAGAAAGGAGAGACAGAAAGGAAGATCTTCCCTCCAATGATTAACTCCCGAAGTGGTCGCGACAGCTGGAGCTGAGCCACTCCGAAGCCAGGACCCAGGAACTTCTTCCGGGTCTCCCACATGGGTACAGGATCCCAAGGCTTTGGGCCATCCTCAACTGCATTCCCAGGCCACAGGCAGGGAGCTGGATGGAAAGCAGAGCCGCTGAGATTAGAACAAGCACCCACATGGTCTGTGCAAGGCAAGGATCTTAGCTGCTAGGCTACCACACGAGGCCCAGATTTTCAAAACTTATTGGAATAGTGAGCGAAACTTCAATTCTGTTTCTTGGGAGTTTCAAAATACTCTTGAAGGCAGTTTCTACATCTAAGACATTACACATGTAGTGCCATGTGGGCTAATAGTTATTTTAAAATGTTTCTATTTCTCACATAGTATATAATATATAATCATTGTAAAAATTTTAAAACAAATTCCAGAAAACATAGAAAATCATAAATGTCCTCTTTTGCTCAATTCTATTTAGATACAGACAAAGGGATACAGATGTATATGTTTTTAAGTTATATCTGTCTTGTTACTGAAAATATGAATAATAAAATGGAACAAAGTTGATTTCCTATAGTATTTATTTGGGCTGATCTTATTAAATGTTTTAAATGATTACTTAACTATTTGTAATAATTTTACTGATAAAAGACTAGCTCATTTAAAAAGACTTTTTTTTTCCATTGGCAGGATTTAATTCAATCGCTCTTTATTATTAAACACTCCATGTAAATTGCACAAGTATTTTCTGAAATGATCACTTTAGTACAGATTCATTGGCTGCTTATCAATCCACTCAAGGAATAGTCATGAGGCAGCAGCATGCCAAAGGAAAAGGTGTTAAAAAGATGAAAAAGACCATTTTTGCCCTTTTTTTTTTAAGATGTATTTATTTTTATTGGAAAGTCAGATAAACAGAGAGGAAGAGAGACAGAAGGAAGATTTTTCCATCTGCTGATTCACTCCCTAAGCAGGGAGCTGGATGGGAAGTGGGGCCACAGGGATAAGAGCTGGTGCCCATATGGGATCCTGGCACGTTCAAGAAGACCTTAGCTCCTAGGCTACTGTGCCGGGCCCCATCTCTGTCCTAAAGCTTACAAACAGCTGCTTGAACTGGAGGTGTGATATATTTTCAAATGTTCACAGAAAGTGCAGACCTTGAAGAAACTATGTTTTTCAAATATTTTGTACCCAAATATGCTTAACCTTTTATTTGCATTTTTTCCATAAGCTTTTTGAAAGTATGAATGCACTTTCCGAGTAAATCTATCATAGTACAGAATCTTAAAAGACAGGAGGACGTTTCTGATGGAGAATCAAAGGATTTTTAATGAATGCCTCACGTGGGTTGATAGGTTCAGGTAGGATTTTAGCATGTAGGATCTGATTAGGGAAGCAACTCTACATGAAACAAAAATCCAGGGCCTGGTGTGGTAGCCTAGCGGCTAAAGTCCTTGCCTTGAATGCTCCAGGATCCCATATGGGCGTTGGTTCTAATCCCTGCAGCTCCACTTCCCATCCAGCTACCTGCTTGTGGCCTGGGAAAGCAGTCGAGGATGGCCTAAAATCTTGGTACCCTGCATCAGTGTGGGGGACTCAGAAGAGGCTCCGGGTTCCTGGTTTCAAATTGTTACAGCTCCAGCTGCTGTGACCACTTGGGGAGTGAATCATCAGATGGAAGATCTTTCTCTCTGTCTCTCCTCCTTTCTGTATATCTGACTTTACAATAAAAATAAATTAATCTTTTTAAAAAATCCTGAACAACAAATACCATGCAATGTCAAGTGCAAGATATGACTAGGAAATGATCAGTGACCAAGCTGGAATGAAGGATCCATGTAAAATAATTGGGAAATGAGAATAAAAATTTACGAGAGAAAAAAATTGTATTTAAAATGGAAATTTGGAATTACTGATCTAGTAGTAAAGGATTTTTCAACAGGTCTATGGTTGGCATAGAAAGAAAGTTATGGTTGGCATGAAGAGAATGGACAGGAGAACTTCAGTTCTGGACCAGAAAACAGGTTGTTACAAATAATATTGGTGTGTAGTCACAAGCATCCAGGCAAGTCAGATACAGTAAGAATAGAAAGTAGAGGCTATTACAAGAAAAATGGGGTGCAACGCATAAAAAGTGTTTAGAGGTTGTCAGGAGGTAAGGTCAAAGCCAGTTCTAGCTTTAAGGTGACCCTGTGTTTTGATTTACTTAACGGGGGTAGGGAACCTCTGTCCGGTGGGCCTAGGAAGGCCCCCAGTGTCCTTTGACCTGGACCTCCAAAGGCAACCACTATGGGACGAGAAAATCAATTAGGCTGTAAGTCAATTCCGTTTTTATATCACTTTAACTTAAAAATTAAGCATTGTGAATCCAATTAGACAGGCTAAAGTATAAGTTGATAATTTTGTGGAGCCACAAGTGTGTTAAGTATTTAAATACCCCATGGCAGAAAAAAAAAACCATTTTGCACTCCTGTTAAAACGTCACATTTTATTCTATTGTTAAAGAATTCATCCCTGTGTAGCATTTGATTTTTTCCTGTTATAGGAAGTATTGTTAATAGTCATTCCATCACAAGAGGTTTTGTGAGACCTCTGTCTGATACTCAAGCCTCTTTGTAAGAGCGTGTGCTTTCAATGGAGCTGTCACCATGATGCAGAGTGAACTCTGAAATATATTATGCCTCACCTTTCTTTTCTTGTCTCAAGAAAACTTAACATTTTCCTTTTGCTGGCCATATCTGCACCCCTGGCTGATGAAAGGATGAGCACCATAAGCTAGGAGCTACACGGTTCACTCTGTCTCATGGTAGCGGAAAGGGAAGTGGCGCTGCAGATCCTAGCACTCACTGAGTGTGGCAGCTCGTTGCGTCTTGGCCCTTGCTAGGAGTGTTCATGCCGTGACCTAGGTGAAGTGGGAGGCTGCCAGTCAGTGGGTTTGTGGGACGTGCTTGGAATTACAGATTAGATACAGGTGAAATATGTGCAGGAAAAAGGCTGAGGAGCCCAGCCACGGAGCATCTGGGTGCTCTTGTTATGATATGTTGATAATTTATTGTATAACACAAATCAACAACTACTTTGCTTATACTTATTTTATTTTGTAATAAACCAGTTCAGAAGCAAGAGCTTAATGTATTCATGTTTAGTCAAAATTAAAAATTGATTTTCTGCTTCTCAAGAAGTTGATGAACATATAACTTAAGCAATGCCCTCTACCATGTAGGCCTTTAATGCTATCACTGGCCATAAGCCATCCAGAAAACAGAAATATGTAGAAGTAGCTGCAGCTATGTCAAGAGCAAGTCGTTATTTTAAAAGACTGTGCCGAAAGTGAGGAATTAACACACAGCTGCTTAAGCTATATTTACATTTCACTCAATGCAGCAAAATCTTCATTAAGGTCAAATGACAGTTATCCTAAATCAATTTCACTCATCTGTATTTTTTTTTAAATCCCAAAGTTCCCCTAGACTTGCAAGCAATGGCTATCAATGAGCTATCATCATGGGCAGAAGTGTTTCTTAAATGACAGTTTTACGTTAGCATGAGCAGAAAAAAATAAAATAGCAACCAGCTAATTTCAATAATAGTGCAATTTTTAAAAAAATCCCCAAATCAAAGAAGAGCATTTGGAAGTTTATTTTGTAGAAGGTGAATTGTCTGATCTCATTGTAAATGCTTATATCATTAACTTACAAATGACACATTGTGACTGCAAATGGTAATATGAATACATACACTAGTTGAAAACAGCATCACAGTGAAACAATGATTTTTATCAAAAAAGTACACAAATGTGTACTTGGAATAATTGCACTGCTTATTTAATAAAACTGTGATCGTTTATTAAATGCAAAGTAGTTCAAGTTTCTATGTGGTTTTAAGTATACAAAATTATACCTAAAATATCTCATTTGGAGGTAAATATGATAAAGAATTCAGGAATAATCGTATGCATGACAACACACACACTTTGTATGCTACTAGTCTTTAAGCACTTTTAAAACTGCTTTGTTCTGTGAAACACCTTTTCATGAATCAGCCAAAGAATCTTGCACTAGCACTAGACTACTTTGCTAAATAAGACCTTTGAAATTGTTACATTTTTGTTCAGAATTAATTAGAAGTCCTTACTTACTTTTTATTGTTATTATTTTCCACAATACAGTTTGTAGGTATGGAGGTAATACTCTCCCCTTTAAGTATTCATATAGACTGGAATTCCCCCCCCGCCAACTCCCACCCCAGACACATTTTCCTCACATTGCTACAAAAGTATAGTCCTTCAATAAGGAGTCATAATTCCATCACTCTCTTATTTAAGTATACTCCAACATTGCTGGTACAGACAATGTCAGGCAGTCCAGCATCCCATTGTCTACGCATTTCCAG